TGGAAAGATATACTGTTTTCATGGACTATTAAGACATCAATTCTTCCCAATTTTTTATATATATATATAATTTTTAATATATATTATATATATTTAAAATATACATTATATATATTTAAAAATATATAATATATATTATATATATAAAGTATATAAAAATATTTATATATATATTATATATATAATATATATATATTATTTTTTTGAGACAGAGTCTTGCTCTGTTGCCCAGATTGGTGTACAGTGGTGCGACCTCAGCTCACTGCAACCTCCCTCTCCCGGGTTCAAGCAATTCTCCTGCCTCAGTCTCCTAAGTAGCTGGGATTACAGGCAGCTGCCACCACGCCTGGTTAATTTTTATGTTTTTAGTAGAGATGGGGTTTCACTGTGTTGGCCAGGCTGTTCTTGAACTCCTGATTTCAAATGATCCGCCTGCCTTGGCCTCCCCAAGTGCTGGGATTGCAGGCATGAGCCACTGCGCCCTGCCCCCAATTTGACTTATAGAATCACTGCAATCCCAGTCAAAATCTCAGCAGGAATGTTATAGATATTGACATGCTGATTCTAAAATTTATTTAAAAAAGGAAAAAGAATTAGACAGCTAACACAATACTTGAAAAAAAAAAAGAACAAAGCTGGAAGATAGATTCATATCACCTAGTTTTAAGACTAACTATAAAGCTACTATAATAAGGTAGTGTGGTATTGATGAAAGAATAAACATTGATCTATGGAAAGACTAGAGTCTAGAAAGAGATTCACACAAATATGGTCAATTGATTTTTTAAAGTAGTTTTAAGTGATAATAATTATATGTATTTATGGAGTACAATATGATGTTTTGATATATGTATACATTGTGAAATGGTTAAATCAAGCTAATTAACTATCTGTCACCTCACCTAATTTTTTTTTGCAATGAGAACCTTTAAAGTCTACTCTTTTAGCAATTTTTAAATATACATTATTATTATTATTATTTTGAGATGGAGTCTCGCTCTATCACCTAGGCTGGAGTGCAGTGGTGCGATCTTGGCTCACTGCAACTTCCACCTCCCCAGGTACAAGCGATTCTCCTGCCTCAGCCTCCTGAGTAGCTGGGACTATAGGCACGTGGCACCAAGCCTGGCTAATTTGTGTACAATATATTATTATTAACTATAGTCACCATGTGGTGCAATAACTCACTAAAGCTTATTTCTCCTAACTTTGAAACTTTGCATCCTTTGATGGTCAGTTGATTTTTTCTTTTTCTTTTTTTTAAGCCTCTCCTTATCCAAACCCATTTGTTTTTCTTTTTTTCTGGCGATTGATTTTTGACCAAAGCATAAAGACAGCTGAAGAAAGGATACTCTTTTCAACAAAAGGTGCTGGAATAATTGGACATCTTGTTGCAAAATAAAAAAAAGAACCTGATCCATCCTTCATACCTTATACAGAAATCAACTCAAAATAGATCATAGATCTAAATTTAAAATGTAAAATTATAAAACTTCTAGAAGAAAATATAGGAGAAAAATTTTTGTGGCCCTATGTTAAGAAAAAGTTCTTGGGGTATGACCCCAAAAGCATGATCTATAAAAGAAAAACACTGACAAATTGGACTTTATAAAAACTAAAAACTTTTGTTCTAAGGAAGATATTGTTTAGTAAATGAAAAGATAAGCTAAAGATTTGCAGAAAATATCTGTAAATCATATGCTCAACAAAGGGCTTACATACAGAATATATAAAGAACCCTAAAATTCAACAATAAGGAAAGCAACAACTCAAATGAAAATGAACAAAAGCTTTGAACTCATTTCACCAAAGAAATATAAGGATGGTAAATAAGCACATGAAAAGGTGCTCAACATCATTAGTCACTAGGGAAACCGAAATGAAAACCACAATGATATGCAACTATACACCTATTAGAATGGCTAAAATAAATGAACAGATAATAGTAAGTACTGGTTAGTATGTGGAGCAATTGATTATATACTGCTGCTGGGACTTCAAAATGGTATAGCTATTTTAGAAAAGAGTTTGAGAACCTCTTTGAAAGCTAATTATACACTTGTCACAAGGCCCAACAATCCTATTCCTAAGTATTCACTCAAGAAAAATGAAAGCTTATATGCATACAAAAACCTGTAAAGAAATGTTTTTAGTAGCTTTATTTATAATTGACAAAAAAGGAAACAACCTAAATGTCTTTCTTTTATTATTATACTTTAAGTTCTAGGGTACATGTGCAGAACGTGCAGGTTTGTTACATATGTATACATGTGTCATGTTGGTGTGCTGCACCCATTAACTCGTCATTTACATTAGCTGTATGTCCTAATGCTATCCCTCCCCCTTTCCCCCACCCCACGACAGGCCCCGGTGTGTAATGTTCCCCACCCTGTGTCCAAGTGTTCTCATTGTTCAATTCCCACCTGTGAGTGAGAACATATGGTGTTTGGTTTTTTTGTCCTTTTTTTTTTTTTTTGTTACTTAGTTTTTATTTCATAATCATAAACTTAACTCTGCAATCCAGCTAGGCATGGAAGAGAACAAGGAAAACATGGAACCCAAAGGGAACTGCAGCGAGAGCACAAAGATTCTAGGATACTGCGAGCAAATGGGGTGGAGGGGTGCTCTCCTGAGCTACAGAAGGAATGGTCTGGTGGTTAAGATAAAACACAAGTCAAACTTATTCGAGTTGTCCACAGTCAGCAATGGTGATCTTCTTGCTGGTCTTGCCATTCCTGGACCCAAAGCGCTCCATGGCCTCCACAATATTCATGCCTTCTTTCACTTTGCCAAAGACCACATGCTTGCCATCCAACCACTCAGTCTTGGCAGTGCAGATGAAAAACTGGGAACCATTTGTGTTGGGTCCAGCATTTGCCATGGACAAGATGCCAGGACCTGTATGCTTTAGGATGAAGTTCTCATCTTCAAATTTCTCCCCATAGATGGACTTGCCACCAGTGCCATTATGGCGTGTGAAGTCACCACCCTGACACATAAACCCTGGAATAATTCTGTGAAAGTAGGAACCCTTATAACCAAATCCTTTCTCTCCAGTGCTCAGAGCACGAAAATTTTCTGCTGTCTTTGGAACCTTGTCTGCAAACAGCTCGAAGGAGACGCGGCCCAAGGGCTCGCCGTCGACGGCAATGTCGAAGAACACGGTAGGGTTGACCATGGCTAGTAGCACAAGACTTTCCTCGGCGGCAGCGTCTGCAAAGCCGGTTTTTTTGTCCTTGTGATAGTTTGCTCAGAATGATGGTTTCCAGCTTTATCCATGTCCCCATAAAGGACATGAACTCATCCTTTTTTATGGCTGCATAGTATTCCATGGTGTATATGTGCCACATTTTCTTAATCCAGTCTATCATTGATGAACATTTGGGTTGGTTCCAAGTCTTTGCTATTGTGTATAGTGCTGCCATAAACATACATGTGCATGTGTCTTTATAGCAGCATGATTTACAATCCTTTGAGTATATAAACAGTAATGGGATGGCTGGGTCAAATGGTATTTCTAGTTCTAGATCCTTGAGGAATCGTCACACTGTCTTCCATAATGGTTGAACTAGTTTACAGTCCCACCAACAGTGTAAAAGTGTTCCTATTTCTCCACATCCTCTCCAGCACCTGTTGTTTCCTGACTTTTTAATGATCACCATTCTAACTGGTGTGAGATGGTGTCTCATTGTAGTTTTGATGTGCCATCTCACACCAGTTATAACGGCGATTATTAAGAAGTCTAAATGTCTTTCAAATGGTGAATGAATGAACTAAATACTTCTCAGCATAGAAAAACTACTGATACATGCAGTAACATGGATGAATTTCTCAAAGCATTATGCTAAGTGAAAGGGGCCAGTCTCAAAAAGGTGCACTTTGTTTGATTCCATTTATATGACATTCTAGAAAAGGCACAACTATAGTGATGAAGAACAGACCTATGGTTGCATTTGTTAAGTATAGGGGAAGGGTTTGACTACAAATAGACAGCAAGATCAAATTTTTAAGTATTCAAAAACTCTTGATTGCAGTGGTGGTTACATGAGTATGCATTTGCCAAAACACATACAACGTAAATCAGAAAGAATACATTTTACTCTATGTAAATTTAAAAATAAATAAATATTTAAAAATTACTGCTTCCCTGGTCTACTTCTCACTGTTACAGTCACCTATTCTAAGACCACCGGTTCATCCTAGAATCACAGGCTCAGAAGGAGCTTAGTAGGGAACTGGTACAATTCCCAAGCCAATATAGAAAATTCCCCTAGAGGTGTCCTGGGAGCTTCTGCTTGAAGATCATCTGCTAAGAGAGAAAATCTCTATCTCCCAAAGCAGGCCTGCTTACAGTGGACAGTTTTTGTTGTTAGCAAGTTATTTATTTTATTAGCTAAAATTGGCTTCCTCACCAATAGCCCCTATTGGTCCTGGTACTATGCTCTAGAACTACAGATATAAAGGCAGGGGCCATGTCCTACACCTTAGTGATGGCAAAAGAACTACACAGGAGGACAGCCTGAAGCCACTCAGTTGAAAACCAAGGGGCCTGTATCTCCTGGACCAACCTCTCTGTGCAGTAGTCTGTAAAATGCTGGGCTACCCTGAGCCATGAGAACTCAACTGGTCTGGGCTACTGCCCTAGAAATGCCTGGACTATACAGTGAAAATCCTCTGTAAAGGAACAACATCACACACTCCCAGGGCCCTATCCTGAATGAAACTGGGAGGCTACAGTCTCAATCATTCTCTCCTTGATCAGAAAGTTATAGTGATGTTCATTCTTTGCTGGCCTCATTATTTTCTGGCCTCTAACTTCATGAAGAAAATCCACAAATCAATTATGGCTAGCAAGTAAGGGAAAACCCTTGAACAGGAGTCAAATTAGCCAAGCTATAGCCCATTCCCACTAGAATCATGGCTTGGTCATCTAGGCCACCTGCCTAAGCAGAAGGGATCCATTCCAGAGAATACCCTGAACACTGTGCCAGGTTTCTTACCTGTTTGAAGTTGCCATTTTTTCTCTGCTCCCAGTCCATCATGTCATGAAAGATGGGAATCATGATATTCCGTACTTCTGGCTGTGGGACCAGTGTCACACCCAGAAAAGGACCAATCATTCCCGGAATAAAGTGGATCTTATGTTCACCTGAAAAACAAAACCCAAATTAGTTTATGCCTGCTTTGCTCCTTTCATGGAAGATTCCCAAATGGGGCCACAACACATGCTATAATCTATATTAGAAGCTTCCAAGAGCAAAGCAAGCTCTCCCCTATGGTTTTCTGAGATACTCCCCCTCAACTTTTTAGTTTATGGATAAAGTTGGCCTAGCCCAGTTAAAGCAAATGTGCAACAGTCACAAAACTGCTTTTCCAAAGAACTTCCTGACAGGTCCCACAAACTACCTGAAAATCTCTCTGAGATGAAGGAACAGAGTTTGCTACTCTAGACAGAACAGGTTTCTAAGTAACCTATGAGTGTCAGATGGTCTATTCACAGTGTTTATTTAACAGGAAAAACCTATATATTTCTGCTTAAATACAATGCACTTCCCTTGGAGTTTCTAGCTGTAGCCCAGAGACATTTAAGTGATGAGGATATCCAGTCCCTGGTCTAGCCACCAGAGGCCTAATAAGTCCATGGACCTTTACACCGCCTATGTTCATCTATGCCAAAGAAGTCCTCCTCCTGAGCTAGCAGGAGCCTCCTGTACAGCCCTACCCTAAAAGGCTGGCTTAGAGATTCTCTCTTTACCCATCCTGAACTCCCTTTGTGTTCATATTGCATTTCTGATGGTACCATTACACCTACTTGGCTCAGCTCAACCCTCAACTTCCTTAATGAAGCATTTCTATGGTAAGTGCGTGATGTGGGTTTCCCTCTCATTGGCCTGCCATCTAGGGTATGTTACCAGAAGCCAGAGACAGTCCTGTGGATGGTGGGATAGGATTTTTCTCTTCCTTGCAATGGTAAAATGGAGTGAACCATTTTTCAGAGCTCTGCTCTCAGTCCTTCAGAGACTAAGGAGGAGATAAACTGTGGGTCTGTGCAATAAATGCTACAACCAAGTAAAACCATTTCTTGGGGACCAGAGAATGTCATTTCCACCAAAAGCAATGAGGCAGTAAAGGCTTTATCAGGCAAATATGGCATTAAAAAAATTTCCATTTTGAAAATCTGTCTAAGAAACAAATGTTTAGCCCTGAAGCTGGTTCAGCATATTCCAATTTTGGTACATGGCACAGTAGCCAGTCTCCTGCATTCCTGGGAATTTCAGAGTCAATTTTGGGTTAAAATCCATTTCCAAACTGTGCTGGATACAGTGAACCAGAGTGCTGGAAAGTCATGCTTGGGGAAATGCATCCCCACTCATGAATAGAAGGCCCTCCCACTGGCAGAAATACCTCACATCTTGCTTGCTGCCTCTAGGTTTGTGGTAGGGATGGTTAACAGAGGACTGGAGATTTTATGACTATCATTCCTATAGCTTCAGAGCCATGAGCTCAGCTGAAAGCAAACTTTACTTGAAATAATAATAGTTATCTAGCATCTTGACAGGCCACATATCACAGGATGGCCCACTCAGTCACCAGGGCAACCCAGAAATTCTACCAAAAACACTGATCTGACAAATTTAGATTCAAAGCAGTGGCTATTTTCAAAGCTTTCAAAGCAGAAGCTGTGCAAAGAAGGAAAGCCAAAGCTGATCTCACTCAGAGGTTGCCGTTCTCTTCTCATATATTACTCCATGCAATTGGTGTCAAGTATCTGATCCGGATGCATGAATACCAGAGATCCAAGAAATGTTTCAATCTTTATTAAAATCAATGGCCACCTCTGCTCATGTACTGGGTATCTCTGATCTAAGCTTTTGAGCCTGCAACATCCAGACTGGGAAGTGAAGAGTATGGAGGATCTTACAGGCATGGGTTCTCAAATTGGAAAAAAACTACTACAGCCCTCCTCTTCTTTTTCTTCCTTTTGACTTTAGTTCCTAAAAAAGGGGATTTTGCACATATATTACTGAGGTCTTATTTCTCAGCCAAACTCTCCTTGCCAAGGGCTTTATGCACATGTGCTACACCATCCATCTGAGGTGTTATGTGAAAGATATGTAAGGATCTCTTGGGTCTGAATTAACATTCATAAAGCCTGGGAGACGTTATTAGTCTTGCTACTTTCTATTTGGCTATGCAATATATAGAAGGGAAGAATAGGGATAAAAAACATACCCAAATTCTGCCACATGCTGAACAGTTCATAAGCCATCATTACACGCATGTCCCCATACCTAAGAATAGTAACACAGGAGCCAACCGTTAGTGGGAGAAGGTTCAGGAAGATAGGGCTGCAAACCCATGAGGCCAGTACTTCAGTACTGTTTGTTTCTAATGCTTCCCAATGCGCTAAGCCATTGGGCTCTCGACTGAACTCCCACACCTGGCCCCTGGGAAACCACCCAGCTGAGAACCTGTGAACCTCTGAAGGAACTCTCATGGAAACATAGCCCTATTTGGCCAAGTGGTAATGAGATGAATATAAGACGTTTATCTTACTTATCTAGAATCTTCTTCCTTTTGACTGAGGTGATAATTTCTAGCTGAAGGCTCGGCTGATTTATGAATAGAACTGCCAGGCTAAAATAAGAATTCCACACCTAGAGAGACAGAGAAAGAAAAAACGTGACAGTCTAAGAACTCAATCTTGTAGGGAGAGTTACTAAATACATACATGTAGCATAGAACCCATTTTATAATCTTAAGATCCTCATTTTTTTTCCCTTTTAAATATCTTTGTGAACAGGAATTTGTTCTTCTTCTTTCCCCTCTTGACTCCTTCTGAAGCCAATTGTGTTGATTCTGGACTAGAAAGCATACTCATGGAAGTCTGGCTACCAACACTTTCAACAGGTGTACCCCAGGTCATATTCTAATCATCATCAGGCTTAGAAGCTGTTTGATACTATGAATCTATTAATAAAGCAAAAACAAGTGAGCTTGGTTTTGGCTTTCTAAGGTTATTGCAATAATACTGATGGATTTCAGGAGTGCCTACCTTAAAGTCAAAGTCAGTCTCTGTGAAATTCTTGTGCAGTGCAGAGGACAGGTACTGGACAGTAGTGACTATAATACTGCAGTAGGGAAACAAGGCATTGGCAGAATTAAAAGACTAACAATGGCATCTGATGGCTTGGCATCAGCTGTCTATAGCCTGTGTGCAAGCTTCTTGGGTACAACTTGTTCCTATGTAAGATGTGACTATAAAGGAAAGAGAAAATGGTACAAACTCTATAGAAAAAACTCTACAGAAAACCAGTCTTGGATAAATGCCCCACAGTTGGCAGGACAGCACGGGACGTCACTGGGTTCTAGACCTAGTTCTGCCATTACCTGGCCTTCATACTTCTCTCTGTGTCTCATTTTCCCTACCTATAAAAGATGGTAGGAGTTCGATGGTTCTTTAAAGTTTCTCTCAGTTCAGAGTAGTTCTAGTATTTTGGGGACCTCTGGGTAATCAACAGATATTATGATCACTTTGTAGGACTTAGAACATAATTTTATTATTATACTGGATAACAGGGGTTTATATAGGTAATAAATCTTTGCTTTAATCATATACTATTATTTTCATCTATGTGTCATTTGAATTCAGCTCTTTTGGTCTAGCTTGAGTATCACTCTCAATCTTAGCCTGGGCACACAGAAGGGACAATGGGAGGCTGTCCTGCTGGAACAAGAGAGTGAAATGGAGAGGAAGTCTAGTGGGACAGTAGGTTTCATTTTCATTACATAGGGCCTTGGCTACCTGACAAAGAGACTTATGTCTAATAGTGGCCACCTCTGCTTAGATGCAGAAGAACATGACAAAAACAGTGCATTAGAAACACTAGCCCACCACTAGAGGGGGTGAAAAATTTAAAGGGTCACAGCTTTGAAAGAAAAAACTGCTCTTGCAGGACAGGCTGGGGAGCCTGAAGTGCTCTGAATGGAGTTAAGAGATAGAAACAAGAAGGATTCAAATAGAAAAGTCACTATGTGAGGAAGTATCTGTGCAACTTTGTTTATAACCATCCTTCTATTCTTTATAAAACATTTGCATTTTGGAAAAAGTTACAGTGCGCTATAAAAGGTATAAAGTGGAAAGACCATGCTAGTATCTTGTTAATATATCTAACAAATACTTTCATTATATTTTATATGTCAATATAAAAGGCAGATCAGTGGGAGGAGGCAATGGGCTAGAGTGTGCAGGCCAAGTAGCCTTCTTCTGAATAGAGAGAGACCAGACGAGCCAGCCCCTTACCACATGCATCATTTGTCTGGTTTGCCAGGAGGAAGCACAGGCTAGAAATATAAATGAGGCAGTCAGGTTAGGGTTATCTTTAGAGTAAATTCTATGTCAGTAATCAGAAGTGGTCAGAGCCTTGCAGCCAGGTCTCAGGTGGGTAACTGGCACTGTCTATGGTAGACAACACAATTTAAATCGAGAAGGCGGCTTGGGACAATGCCTAAACCTATAGGGCAGCAGAGGCCAATGGGACACTAAGCAGGCCTTCCTCAAGGAAGAACCCTTCTCAGGATATTATATTTCACATCCTGAAAACTTCCTTCTCTATCCTTACTGTGCCATCATCTGCCAAGCACAAAAACGTTTTTCTCATTTGCCCTCTCCTCTCTTTTCCAATGGTCCTGCCCTTCATTTGTCTTGCTCATGTGCTCCCTCTCTGAAACACACATACTCTTCTTAGTCTGAGAACAGCTCAGTAATGCTGACACAGAGCCCTTCCATACTCACTTGCTTGTGAGCAGTCTCATTACCATCCAGTCCCGAGGGAACACACTCATCTTCATCAGGTTCCGGAACACACAAAAAATCTTCAGCAGAAATTCCTGACAGCAGAGGAAAGCTGATGTGAGATACCACCACCACAATATGCATCTCCTCAATAGGCCACTCCTGGCCACTAGATCATGAGAATGGGTGGGACCAGTGAGTTAGGTATGGTTCTCTCTGTGAGTTGTTTCTTAGATGGCTACATGAGAGTGAGTTCTGGGTACTCTCACAGGCCAGATGGGAGCAGACCCAAACTGGGCAGAACAGAGGTAGCTCTATTCCCACAATGCCCAAAGCAGCTCTATACCCACTCTATACCCACAAAGCCCAAAGCATGGGACAGACTAAGGTCTAGCCAAACTGGTGTCCGACTGAGTCCATGGGCTTCATTTTCTGGGGCATGGCCCCTGAGCGTTTGATTATAAGAACATGCTTTTTTGGATATTAAGAACACAATGATGGGAGAGGCATTTTAGGAATGGCAGAGTAAAGATCTCTGAAAATCTGCTTGTCCATGAAAGCAATGGGGTGGCTAACACTGGTTAACCAAAGGCTTGTGACAATCCAAGAAATGTTTATTCAATGATAATGGATGAATAATAACAATGAGCTTTGTTGAATTTTTAACTTGCACTATTCCCATCCCCTCCTACCTCCACAGTAGCCTTAAAAACAAGCTGCTGTAGAATCATGAAAGTCATGAAACACCAGCAGCCTAGCAGCCATTAGAAGGGAGAGAACGGTTTTGGAACTCCTACGAAAAGTTCCGACCCACAGAATTGTTATTATTTGATCTGTTTGGCAGCTTCTTGGAAAAACTCCACTCATAGGGCTTGTCTTAATTTAACTTGACTCAGAGCTCACTCAAGTGAGGAAAACTCTATACCCAAGGCATTTGTTGGAGCAAAACAAAAAACAAAAAAAAGTATAATTTAACATCCCAGCTGCATGAAGCAGCCATGTCATTTGAGGCAAACGAGAACGACTAAAAAAAAATTATATAAGGAAAATCTGAGGAATGAAATATCTGTAGGGGGCCTTGAAAAGCTCTGACATATTCCTGGGAATCTAGAAGGCTATACATGTATACAGGGCTGTGCAAATTCCTAGAGAAGGCCTGAGAAGGCCTAATCTCTCACCAGTGCTGACCTTGAGGCTCTGGGTAAGTAGGAAGTGAAGGCTATGGCTGAACTGAAAAGTGCTGGAGCAATGACAGTGAGCCTCAACACATACATATAAAAACCCCCTTAAAAATGTGGAGAGTTATTGATTTAAGGCATTTAAGAATATCCCTGTTCAGTTATTAGCTGATCATTAACTAACTGCATGGAGACTTTAGTGACTGCATATAATTAAAAAATACAGATATTAAAGAATGGGTCCAAGAATGGTGGCTCACACCTGTAATCCCAGTGCTTTGGGAGGCTGAGGCAAGAGGATCACTTGAGGCCAGGAGTTTGAGACCAGTTTGGGAAACATAGCAAGATCCCTGTCTTCACAAAAAATTAAAAAATTAGCTGCATGTGGTGGTGCATGTCTGTAGTCCAAGCTACTCAGGAGGTTGAGGTAGGAGGATTTCTCGAGCCCAGGCAAGGTTGTAGTGAGCTATGATCACATCAGTACGCTATGGCCTGAGCAATACAGCAAGACCCTGTCTAAAAAAACCCCAAAAAGCAATGAGTCCAATAATATTACTGAAAAAAGAAACAAGCATCATCAACAACATAAAACAATAAAAAGCAACAATAACAACCCCTGGGGATGTGGGGAAGGGATCTGATTTCCAGAGTTGCCAAATTATTTAAAATGTCTAGTTTTCAACAAAATATCATAAGATATAAAAAAACCAGAAAGTATGGCCCATACACAGGCAAAAAGAAGTTAATAAAAACTTTTCCTGAGGTAGCTCAAATATTGGACTTGCTTGGAAAATACTTTAAACAAAGAACTGAAGGAAATCACACTTAAAGAATTAAAGGAAAGTGTAAGAACAATGACTCACCAAATAAGAGGATATCAACAAAAAGGGTAGAAATTACTTAAAGTACACCAAATATAAATTCTAGGATTGAAGAATACAATAACTGAAATGAAAAATTCACTAAAGGGGCTCAGCAGCGGATCTGAGCTAGCAGAAGAATTAGCAAATTTGAAGCTGAGTTAACTGAGATTACCTCAAGTAAGAAAAACAAAAAGAAAAAAGAATGAAGACAAATGAACAGAGCCTCAGATATCTGTGGGGCATCATTAAGGGTATAAACATACACATAGTGGTAGTGCCAGAAGGAAAAGAGAAAGAGAAATGGGAAGAAATAATGGGGAAAAACTTTCCAAAATTGATGAAAAAGTCTTCACACAGCCAAGAAGCTCAACAAACTCTACATGGGATAAAATCAAAGAGATTCACATATAGTCACATTAGAATCAAAAGTGTCAAAAGCCAAAAATAAAGAGAATCTTGAAAGCAACAAGAGAAAAACAACAAATAACCCTCAATAATATTAACAGGTGACACCATCAGATATAATGGAGGCCAGAAGGCAGACAGCAGAAATATTCAAAGTCTGAAATGAAAGACCATCAACAAAGAATCCTATAGCCAGCGAAACTACCATTCAAAACTAAAGAAACTGCAAAGCACAGTGGCTTATGTCTGTAATCCCAGCACTTTGAGAGGCTGAGACAGGAGGACTGCTTGAGCCCAGGAACTTGATACTAGCCTGAGCAACACAGCGAGACTCCATCTCTACAACAGTAAATTAAAAAAAGAGAAAAAAAAAAAAAAAACTAGCTGGTGGTGTGCACATGTAGTCCCAACGACTTGGGAGGCTGAGGTGGGAGAATCCCTTGAGCCTGGGAAGACTGAGGTGGCAGTGAGCTATGATTGTGCCACAGCACCCCAGCCTGTGTGACAGAGCAAGAACCTGTCTCAAAAAAAAAAAAAAAAAAAAGAAATCAAGGCAGCCATCACTGCAGCTGCCTGCTGTCTAAGACAACTGAGCTCCTGAGGGGGAGGGGAGGCCATCATCACTATGGCTGCCTGCTGCCTAAGACAAATGAGCTCCCCAGGAGAGGGGCAGCAGGCATCACTATGGCTGCCTGCTACCTTATAAGTACCACGTGCTAACCGATTGTGCCACTGGAGCCACTGCCTGCTACCTAAGATGATTGACTCCCTAGGGGAGGGGCAGCAGCCATCACTGTAGCTCCAGTCTGCGGTTTTCCCCCTGCTGGTGCTGGGGAGACTGGACGGTTTGGACCCAAACTGCCACACTGGCTGTGGCAGACTGCAGCCAGACTGCCACTTTAGGTCGGACCCTGACCCATTCTTCTTCATTGGGTGGGGCCTCCCCGCAGGAATTTCAGCAACTCCAGCCAGGGGTTTAGGGACAGAACTTTGATCTCCCTGGGACTGAGGGGTGGCCATGGTCTCCGTGGATCAGCAGACTTAGTCTTTCCCCCGCTAGCTCTGAGGAATCCAGGCAGCCCAGACAAGTGGGACTCCCCCACAGCACAGCACACCCCCTCTGCCAAGGGGCAGCCAGAGTGCTTCATTAGGTGGGTCCCAGATCCCATGCCCCCCGACTGGGTGAGACCCTCCAATAAGGGTTGCCAGACACCTTATACAGGAGCATTCCCACTGGCATCAGGTCAGTGCCTCTCAGGGACAGAGATCTCAGAGGAAGAAGCAGGCAGCTATCTTTGCTGTTCTGCAGTCTCCTCAGGTGACACCTCTGGGTGTGGGAGAGACCCAGGTGAATAGGGTCTGGAGTGAACCCTCAGCAAACCACAGCAGCCCTACAAAAAGGGGTCTGATTATTGAAACAAAAATAAACAGAAAGCAACAACAACAGCATCAACAAAAAAGTCCCCACAAAAACCCCACTCAAAGATCGGCAGCCTCAAAGATTGAAGCTAGACAAACTCATGAAGATGAGAAAGAATCAGTGAAAAAACACTGAAAACTCAAAAAGGCAGAGTGCCTCTTCTCCAAATGATTGCAATACCTGGGCAGAGGCTGAGATGAATGATTTGACAGAAGTAGGCTTCAGAAGGTGGGTAATAACAAACTTCACTGAGCTAAAACAGCATGTTCTAACTCAATGCAAAGAAGCTAAAAACCATGATAAAACATTACAGGAGCTGTTAACCAGGATAGCTAGTTTAGAGAGGAACATAAATTACCTCATGAAGCTGAAAATACAACATGAGAACTTCATAGTGTAAACACAAGTATCAATAACTGAAGAGACCAAGCAGAGAAAAGAATTTCAGAGCTTGAAGACTATCTTGCTGAAATAAGGCAGACAAGATTAGAGGGAAAAAAAATGAAAAGGAATAAACAAAACCTACAAGAATATGTAAAAAGACTGAACCTATGACTGATGGGGGTACCTGAAAGAGACAGGGAGAACAGAACCAAGTTGAAAAACATACTTCAGGATATCACCCAGGAGAACTTCCCCAACCTAACAAGACAGGCCAACATTCAAATTCAGGAAATCCAGAGAACCTCAGTAAGATACTCCACGAGAAGATCAACCCCAAGACACATAATCATCAGATTCTCTAAGGCTGAAATGAAGGAAAAAATGTTAAGGGCAGCCAGAGAGAAAGGCCAGGTTACCTACAAAGGGAACCCCATCAGACTAACAGCAGACCTTTCAGCAGAAACCCTATAAGCCAGAAGAGATTGGGGGCCAATATTCAACATTCTTAAAGAAAAGAATTTTCAGCCCAGAGTTTCGTATCTGGCCAAACTAAGCTTCGTAAGTGAAGGAGAAATAAAATCATTTTCAGACAACCAAATGAGGAGGGAATTTGTCACCACCAGGCCTGCCTTGCAAGAACTCCTGAATGAAGCACTAAATATGGAAGGAAAACCATTACTAGTCACTGCAAAAAAAAGTACAAAGGCCAATGACACTATGGAGCAACTACATCAACAAGTGTGCAAAATAATCAGCTAGCATCATAATAACAGAATCAAATTCACACATAACAATATCAACTGTAAATGTAAATAGGCTAAATGCCCCCAATTAAAAGACACAGA